AGTAATGTAAAGATCATACTATTAAGATTTAACAACAAATAAGCAAAGAAAAATCAAAGTTGAGTGTTGCATCACGTTGACTCTGTTGCATAACGTTGTCGTTCTCAAATAGGAACAAGAAAACTAAGCATATATAGAATATGTAATTGTCATTCATCTGTGATGAAGCAGGCTTCAGTTCACAATAATAGGAAATATAATGAAATCAGCTTAGAAATCAGTCATTTTGGTAAAAAAAAAAAAAAATCAGGTTTTGCCATCTGCCTTTTCCAACCAAAGTTTCAAAAAGCTAACAAAAAGGGTCACTCAAAGCATCCCCTTATCAATATCCCCTCCCCCACCCCACCTCTTTTATGAGGCTCAGAGAAATCCAGGGTTATTTAACTATTCGACGTACGCCCATTGTAAATAAATGGCAACCTCCTATCAGTGGGTGGACATACATGTACGTATTTTTTTTTCTGCTCGAGCAGAAAAGTTTTAAACAGCCAGTACTGGCTGTCTAATACAAGCGTTTGGGCAGCTCTATAGCTGCCGGATCACTTATAAAAAATGGAGGAGAGATCAGCATTTTCCCACTGCTGATCTCTCCTCTGATCTCTAATGGCGGAAGTGCTGTGTGCTACATGACTTCCGCCTTCAGCTGGCATTTTTCTGGCTGCTATAGCCAGAGAAGAAGCTGGTGAAGCAGATCACCAGGTGTGGTGTCTATTTACCCAAAGTGAGCCCAAAGTCTTTTATATTTTGCCAAAAACGTGGGTAATAATTAATGTTTTATACATAAAGTAGGAAAAACATTTTTTTTCAAAATTTTAAGTACTTTTTTCATTATATAGTAAAAAAATTAAAAATTAAAAATCCTGAAGTGGTTAAATAACACCAAAGAAAGTTCTATCTGTCCCCAAGAAATTATATAAAATTCATCTCAGTACAGCGTTGCATGACTGACTAAATCTCAGTCAAAGTACTGCAGTGCTGAATACTGAAAAATGGCCAGGACAGGAAGAGGGTTTAACAGCCTGGTATTCAAATGGTTAATTCTACTGCAGGATAACAAATCTGTATCTAGCGTTCCCAAATACTCATAAACTTGTTATGTTTGTCTTCTAGGTTACTAGTCAGCCATTTATTCACCATAATATTGTAAACTCTACAGATAAATTCCATATATGTAATAAGCTTTTTTTTCCAGTTACTAGCCAGGGTCAATCTAGCTGCCAAAAAAACTGATGGGTTAGGATTTGCTGGCATTTAGTCAACCCAGCTATAGTCATATGTAATAATGCTTGTCGTGGGTCTTTTGCCCACATTTTGTGAAAAAGAGTTTCTGTATTTGACTGCTGTGTTCCTACTTGATTCTTGTATTGTTTTGTATGCCCCGATGTACGTTTTACTACCAATGTTAAAATTCAAAAAAAAACTTTTGAAAGAAAAAAAAGACCTTTTGGCTGTCAAATGGTGTCATATTTCTGAATATAATTTTTAATACCAGCAAGGATGCACATTTTCAAGAGAAACTGTCATAACTACTCACCTACCTACATTTATACATTATAGTACATACCATTTCTATATACTCCAACACACATTGACAAAAGGTAGAGCTGAACTTTATAGGAAGGGGGTTGACATAGTGGCAAAAAATCATTACTGGAAATACTATTTTATCTGACCACAGTTCATAGCTCATGCAATGCATTGTGGCGGATTATCTTTTTGTTCTGAGATAAACTTATAGGTAAAATGTTTAGGTGGCTGTGAACAGGAAAAGTTCTGATTGAACTTTTCTTCAAGACATACAGGAGAAAACAATAATGGTAGCCTACATATAGTTTTTTCTCAACGTAAGTTTCCTCTTAGTATGTCAGTTGGCAATACTGGTAGTAAGACATAGCATGAAAGAAAGGGAGGGAGCGTGGAGCGATGATGAAGAAAACACATTTAAAAAAGATACAGCTCAGCAACAAGTCTCAGAACCTGTGTTCTCATAAAACATGCATATTCCAATAAAGGTGTCAGCAGCTTTGAGACTTAGGAAGTTCAACACTATATCAGATAAATTAAGGAGGAGTAATAATTCACAGCAAGAAAATTAAGCAGGTAATATGTCTACAGCAGTGTGAATGTGTGTGTTCTGCTTTTCTTATCAGTGCTTGGAACTTTGGTCCATTGCCTTAGAACATCATAGCTGGGCATATCTTATAGTTAACTCCAACTGCCAAACTCCACAGTGATTGTTTAATCACCCCCACCATAATCAGTCCTAAGCCTTTAAAATTGTACACCCAGAACATATTCAGTATAAGTTTTTTCTTTGCTGAAAAATCTCTTTCGACCAGATCTGTGCTTGGTATCAATTGAAGAGTATCTAAACCTAAGCACAAGCTTTATTTTTACCTGGTGAGCCTCTCGGTAATACACTTTCTGTCCTTGGGTTACAACTCTCACCTAGGGTGACAAAAGCCTTCGGTAGTCTGCAAAGATAGCTGGGCACATTGCTAAAATAAGATTGCAGCACAAGCAAAAGGCACATGAAGTTATCAGCTCACAAGATTTCAGGCAGCAGATATTTTTTGCACTTATTAAACAGATATAACAAAACACTTTCAATGGCAGATTTAAGAGACCAAAAGGAAGTAAATAAGATACGTTTATTGCAAGGTTTTTTTGACACAATTTAAGAGCTCTAAAACACTATGCGACTGCCTTGATGTATACATTGGAAATTCAATGGCCACAGAGGTGTGGAAATAACCCTGAGCATAGGCGTCACTACAGGGGGGCAAGGGGGGGGGGACGAGTGGAGGCAGACGTGTGAGATTGTGGGCAGCGTTGGAATAAATGTCGCAAATGCGGGGTGCCGATGCCATCCGCAATTAAATCAGCTCATCGGTGCCCAGCGGTTGCGACATGCAATGAAAATGATTAGTGCCCCCCCAGATTTGACTGTTGTATCTTATGTGCCCCCCCTACATATTGTTCCTAGAGTCGCCACTGACCCTGAGACCTTTTATCTCCCCCAAAACAACCAAGTATGTAAGCTAAAATTAATGGTAAGTACACTGTTGCTATCAGCATTGATATGCTTTTCTCTTTGTGTTTGCACCAGTGGGAAGTGAGAAAAAAATGTAATAGCAAGAAAGCTGTTCATGAAGAAAATGCTTGGCACATAGTATAATTGATAAAGATCTTTAAATTAAGCCAAAGCTTTTCTTGCATGACAGGTTCACTGCAGACCTCAGCTGAGAAAAAAAATCCACAACCACACAGTATAAGAAAGGAAAAGACCAGCAATATGTTTGTTTTTTCTCTTCCCTATAAATCAAAATGTTGAATTATAAGCATACCACTTCACAATTGTTACATTGCTTCAGTGCTTTTTTTTTAGATTACCTCTGGATTAAAAAAAAATAGTAGATAGAAATAAACACCGGACAGAAGAATTTTGATTGCTCCCCTTGTTTTGGACCAGTGTCACTACATGGGGCTTCTTAGTGACAACAGAGATATCATCTCTTTTATTTGTATGCATCCGATAAGCTTTTCTTCACCATTCAAGCCAAATACAAAAGCTATGCAAAACAACTTGAAGCAGCTCAGAAGCAGCTTGATACAACTCAAACGTAAATCAAAGGCAATTAAGCAACTAAAAAACAAGTAATTTTCCCCTGCCTTTGGTTTTCTTATGAGACAGTGTACATGAACCCTCAGCAATGTACCCGTCAAAGGTACAACTATAGTCATATACAGTAGCAGACCATATGAGTACTCTGAGGTCCAGAGATGTCTAGCTACACATTTGGATACAATGAATGTATAACAGCTTTGAAGTCTCTATACATTTGGTATAATAGTAAATAGTATTTTGCATCATTTGAGAAACTACCTTTGAGATGGAGATGAAAGGCTATGCAAACCCTAACAAAGGACATCTTTTATTTGGGCCTTTTTGTTTTTTTAAATAAACTATTGAAAGCATTTTGTTATATCTGTTCGGTAAGTCCAATAAATACATGTTAATTTTGCCAAAACGTTTGTCAGCTGATAACATCCTGCGCTCTCTGTCTGTTCTGAGTGATATGAATTAAATTTTTTCCCAGCTATCTATGAGGACTGCAGAGCCCCTACCCTATGTTATGGAGAAAAGGAAGGGAAGGTTTCTGTAGTCCTGTCTCAGGGTGAAAATACTGCTTCTCCACAGATACAATGGAGTGAATGAGTCTTGCCATCCTAGGGCAGAAAGTGTGTTACTAGCAGGATCACTAGGTGAAAATAAAGATAAAAAGCGTAAAAAAAGAGAACAAATGCAGCCACTGGTATGCTGCAGTATACTCAATATTTGTCTTCTGGTTTAGACTTGGTTTAGATGCTAGATGGGGGAAGTTTAAAGCCCAACAGCAAACATGTTTTCCTTAAACTGGTAGCTGCAATATTCACATTTAATCCAGACGTGTCCCCCGCAGTACCTCTTCTTGGCCACAAGATGTCCTCAGTCTTCTGGGTTGAAGGACACAGTTTCACTCTATACAAAAGACTGAGGGCTCTACTGTAAATGCAAAGTGTCATGGCCCTACCACCTGAAAGGGCATCACTACATAGCTAACTTCTTGCTCTCTACTGTTGATGCAGCTGACACACACCAGGTTTATTACAAGATGTGTACCAAGAATGACTTCTGCATGGTAAGAAGGTTTTTGTCCACTACACAGTATAACCCTAAGAGAAGCCAGTGCCCAAATAACTCTATTTCAATCTTGTTAGGCAAGCACAAATTGAAGATGAGGATGGTGATGATGATGATGGTCACAATGAGCATGAAGGTGATACATTCTTTTTTAGAGAGAGTCAATAAGCTCCCTAGACATAGCAGTTAAAAAGACCCAAAATATGTTTTAGACAAAAACTAATCCGTAAAATATTCCTGTATATGTATATACATCTAAGACATAACCCACACAGTTTAGAGGAACAAAATATTAATGAGTGTCCTTTTATCCTACCTTGATCAAATGGTCTTCCTGGATTCCAAGTTCGGAAGTAATCATCCTAAATGACAAACAACAAAAGCATAAGCATTCAACATAAAAAACACCTATATCTAGAGTAGGTAAAAACATGCAGTACATCAACAAGCATATTTATAAAAACAAAAATTATACAAACCTCTACTTCCTGAGTGGGCAAGCAAGCAAAATAAATAAGAAAGTAAATGACAGTGAGAACAATACAGTATAAAATAACCTTTAATATAAAGTGTTTTTCTTTTTTCCTGGTTAATGTTCTATTAGTCACAACGAATGTCAAACTGTTTCACTCGTATTTTGATAAGGTGGTGATAGAAAGAAAATAGCACATAATAACATACTTAAATAAGATATCATTGATTATGCCTTGATTCATAGAGGAAAATTTGCAACAATGGAATTTTACAAGAAAACATTGAACAATATAGCCAACAAGACGCGGGAGACTGTGATTAAACGGGCAAGGTATGTAATTTCACTGTTGCAACTTTAATGATTTTACCCACAGTTGCTCTCACACCCATGGAGTGTAGAAAATTATTTCTTCTATAGCTCAAACACATGCTAGAAAAAAGATATTTGCAGACATCTAGTGCTTGTATTTTCCAGTTAACTGGCCATTCTAGTTAACTGACCTAAGTCAAAAGACATGTTAGTTCAACTATTCCTGTATCATAGTATATGTATAGTATATAGTATAGTGTAGTATATCATAGACCTTTGTGACAAATCATGTCTCTATTGCCATTTTAAGGTAGAGGGTAATAAATAATATATCATAAATAAATAAAGGTGTTATCACATAATTATTACAAAATAACATGTCAGAACAGGCAGAGAGCGCAGGATGTTATCAGCTGACCAGTAGGGTATAGTCAACAAAAATTAACATACACCTCAGATGTGCTCTTGGGAGCTATGTAAGGCTCCCAAAAGCCTTACAAACCCACAGGACCAAAGGAGGAGACAAATTATAATTCACTCCCCTTTACTGTACCTTACATAGATCCAAGGAGAGCCACGTTTCAAAAAATAAAACAAGAAACACTTCAGAAATATTTTGGGAATTACATTTCCAAATACAGGGGCCAGTTTGCTACCATAAATTAAAATTCACAGTATAGCATCAAAACAATTTGGAGTGAATTTCAAGACACATCTGTATATTATCCTGGACCATCCAATTAAATGTGGCTTGGCCTTAAAGTAGTACTAAAGCCTCAGGTTTTACAACATATTTTGCTTGCTGGTGGTAATAATATGCATGGAGGAGCAGGCAATGTTAGTATGTAGAGATGTAGTCCCCAGCATGGAAACACACACTGGAGGGTGGCTCCATAGCACACAGTAAGAGAAAGGACACACCCTTAGAACAGAAGAAAATGTCAATCATCAATTTGACCCCGTTAACCTTTAGAAAATTGAACAAATATTCTGAAAACAAATTGTTTTGAACAAAGTTGTACTGGTGTACTGGCCGGCTTAACTCCAATTCTTGTTCTAAAATAATGTGATCAATCAAATGCCAAACATTTTGGTAAATTCTGCAACAAACCCGTCACAAAAACAGCAAAAAATACAGAATGACACATACTGTATTTTAATGCATTACTGTAATTTTTTTTTGCCCAAGGCTTGAAAGCTCCATTAGTCCTTCTTTGAATCTTGACAAAATGACAGACTAAACCATGGGTCCTATTTCTGAATCGTACTGCATGTATAAAAGTTGTTCAGGTTCACCAACATGAGTTACCATCTGATATAACAACTTATACGCTGTAGGCCCTCAGAGATAAACTTACTGCACATATACAAATTCAATAAAGCTATTAGCTAATCCATCACTTAATTCATTTCATAACATGCATGCAAGGTAATCCACAATACTCATCTAATCAGACTTTTACATCTACCCTCAATCTGGTCCAATTATCTTCCAACAATTGCAGGCTTCAAATGACTTCTAATGGTTTTATCTGTACCAATAGTGGTGTACTTTGTCCTGATCAGCTCCATATGTTTTCTATCATTGAAACCACTTGTCTATTGCAAAAATAAGCAAGTAAAAAATAATTTTCTTTTACAGCAGCCATAGAGTATCACTGTTCCAAGGAGAACAAATAATATGTGACTAGAGGTCTTAGCAGTCATAGCAGCTATCATATATGTGAAAGTCTACATGGAAATAAATCATAAAATACAAAATAGATTTAAAGTGAACCTAACAGGTGCACCAAAGTACAATATAAAAAAAACTTACAAAACCTGCTGGTGCACTTGTGTTCAGTGTAGTACCTTCCTTTGTGATTCTAGACTCTGACTGTCTTTAGAGCCTTGACCTCTGTTCAGCTCAGAACTAAGTCCACCCCCTTTCATTCAACCATCAAATGCCAGATCTTCTACTAGCCACTGAGGTTCTGGCATTTGACGGATGAATAATGGTAGTAGGGTACAGGCTAATGCGTACATGAAGAGAAGTTGAGATCTTGTATACAGCCTGGGCTCCCTAAGCACAAATTAGCTAAATAAAAGATACATAGTTGTAATTTTACCCGTAAAAGATACATACTGGCATTGTGCCAGTAATGTTAGTTTATACACTGTGGTGGACCTGACAAGGTCTCTTTAAGTGATAAACATGAGTGGAAATTAGCTATAAGGATCAGTTAATATGAAACTGTATACTTTCTTATAATTGGGGTAATGGTATCTATAAATGTGAACCTGCCACCACCCACCTGACATTCACCATTACTGTTCATTTAGGTACTCTCATAGGTTTGTATGCAGTGAAGAGGAGTTCCAAGTAAGTTGTGGTCTCCATTCAGTGTGTGCATGGCATCAGAGAGACACTTTATAGATTTCTAAGCAGAAGCTGTTCAGTTAATTTATAAATGCTGAAAACCATGACAGCAGTGCTTTCAATAAATCATAAGTAAACTTGTACAAAAATAATGTATTTCTTAGTGCGTACTAGAAACTAAAATAAAAGAATTCAATCACATTCGTTCTAAAGCCCAGTTAGAGATATGTTTTAGTAATTATAGTACATAGAAATCAGAGCAGATGTAACATTAATTTCATCGCATTCCCTAAGGAAAGCTATCTGGAGTACTGTGAACATTTCCATGAATATTTAATTAAGAATGGTGAACAAATCAAAGCTACAGCACCTATGAAAATTCTGCATTTCCTGACTAAGCAAAATTAGTCATGACCTATATACAGCACTCTTTTGCAACCATTACAATACATTTGCCTCTCAGTTTCCAATATTTTATAAAATAATCTAATGCTATGTTAGCCCTAAAATTAGAATCTATGGTTTGATGCATTAAGGCCAGTCTTTTGTGCTTTACTAATGCAAAAAATGCAGTAAACACCTGCTTCTACCTGCTAAATAAAGTGCTATTACCAATCGCTATATTCACTAGACATAAATTACTAGGTTCCCTCATCTTAAATTAACTATATTATTATGATATGGATTGATAAACTAATTACCAACTATTCACCAACAGAGTGGCTAACAAGACACACTCTACAATTTCATACCCAGAAAAATATTTACTATCCACATAAATGTGATAAAACAATCAATTTAGATCACCCCGCAAAGCTAATTAGATCACATCTCACAAAATACAACTAAATAATAGAAAATATAATGGAAAATAATAGAAAATATAAATTCATATGAAGCCTAGATTGTTATCAGGGGCGGAACTACTGCCATAGCGACCCATGCTATCATTGCTGTCCATCTGTCTGCTGCCAGAGGTACTACAAGGTGCGCCCTATTGATAGAACAGAACAGCCAATGGGATTGCTAGGAGTAGATATCCCTTCCCAGCCAATCACTGTTGAAGGAGCCAGTAGTGCATGCTGGGAGAGGAGATAAATTCTCGGGGCAGGCCATGTGAGCTCTCTCTTCCTTACCCAGGCCCTGCCTGTGGGGAGGCTGTGCTAGAATGCCTGAGCTGACCAGGCCTCAAAGCCTGGGACTAGCCTTGGAATCACCCTGGAGCCTGGTGGCAGCAGGTCCAGTCGTTGCTGCTGCTAAAGACAGAGATCCGTAACTCTTACCTCAAGTAATGCAGTGTCAGATGTTTGGGTCTGCGGTGCATGGAAGTTGTAGCCACACTCTCCGAGAAGCCACGGAGTCTACACCTGCTGAGATGACCCTAACCCTCCTCTACCTCTCTCCCTGAAGTTCTTCAATAAATGTTTCAAGAATCACAACTACAGTCTGGAACTCGCTTCAATCATTCAAAAGTAAGTGCTGATGGGCAAAGCGAGCAACAATACCCCTAGACAATAAGAATCGGAACTTTAGTAACCCATAGCAACCGACCCTAGTAACGCAAAGCGTTTCCTTTACTGATGATGGCACATAACTAATTTCTGTACCATATAAATGTAAATATGCAGGTGTTAGTGTGAACAGTATGCTTGCCATCTAAGCATCCAATCTTGTGGTGCAGAAACTCCCAGCAACAAGAATGCATGGAAGTACTGTAGTTGTCAAAGCTGTGGATTTATGTGTCCCAGCCACTTTAACCAGGCATTATTAGCTGCTTCTTATTAAGGCATAGCAAATAAATCAAGGTCAATGGATGTGTGAAACTAACTAACAAGGTCATAATGTGATTTGTTCCACTGTAATCCACATACAAAAACACAGTGTTATTTAAGGGGTATGTACAAAATTTATATTATACAGGGGAGGGGGCGAGTACAGCTGGCTCTGCTTCTAGATAGGCAGAGCCAGGTGTCACTCACGCAGCTGGGCAGATCCAGACATAATTGTCGGGATCCGCTTCAGCTGCAGCGTGTCAGTACACCGCAAGCTGTAGCTTGCAGTATACTGAGCTTAGTGTGACCGGAGGACGCTAGTTTTTGTCCTGCCGTTACCCTAAGGAGAACTATGGGGAAAAGCCCTAACCCCATAGTTCTCCTTTAACACTGGTGTTAAAATATGCTTTTGGAATTTAACAGTATTTTTTTCTTCTATTTTATAATAGCAATAAAAAGTTAAGCAATGACATGAATGATTCTTAATTCACGGAACCCTTATCAGTTTACAGTGCGGCATCTTTGCTAAGTATGCATGGCTGCTTTACTACCAACATCATATATACATTGCTT